GGACACCCACCAAAGGTCTATATCTTTTGTATATAGACCAGTTCTAGTATGTTATATAGGATATATTTCATAATGATGACAGCATTTCTGAATGGCAGGTATATATACAAAAATATAAACCCGACCACATCAAAGGTTGATGTCATAATTATGAGATATATATATTTTCTTTGATGATTGAAACCATTATGGCCAAAATAATAATAATAATAATAATAATAATAATAATAATAATAATAATAATAATAATGATGATAAATAATAATAATAATAATAATAATGACAATGATAATAGCAAGGCTGCAAAAGTCATGGCAGCCATTTTGTTTGGGGGTGAATCCTACTTAGTAACACTACCGCGTTACTAATAATTTCTATGTTTCTTACTCCTTTTTTATTAGTGAGAGTGACATCAGCTTTATACTCCAGTAGCAGTTCAACTATTCCTTTATGACCTTGATGACAGGCAATACCAAGTGGTGCATCCTACAAAATAATAATTATAAAAGAATGATAATTATGTCTCTTAGTTACATCATCCTTATCAGCTATATTAACATCAGCTTTATGCTCCAGTAGTAGTGCAACTATTTCTGTATGTCCTGCTATAGAGGTCATAACAAGTGGTGTATGCTAACATGATGATGATAATAATAATAATAATAATAATAATAATAATAATAATAATTACTGTGATTCTTACTTTTTGTTTATTAAGGTGATTGACATCAGCTCCATGGTTCAGTAGTAGTTCAACTACTTCTGCATGTCCTGGTATACTGGCATTACCAAGTGGTGTATTCTACATAATAATAATAATAATAATAATAATAATAATAATAATAATAATAATAATTACTGTGATTCTTACTTTTTGTTTATTAAGGTGATTGACATCAGCTCCATGCTCCAGTAGTAGTTCAACTACTTCTGCATGTCCTGGTATACTGGCATTACCAAGTGGTGTATTCTACATAATAATAATAATAATAATAATAATAACAATAATAATAATAATAAAAATAAAAATAAAAATAAAAATAATAATAATAATAATAATGCAATGTCTCTTACTCCATTTTTATCAGTAACATTGACATTAGCTCCATGCTCCAGTAGTAGTTTAACTATTTCTGTATGTCCTGGTATACTGGCATTACCAAGTGGTGTAAGCTACATAATAATAATAATAATAATAATAATAATAAATAATAATAATAATAAATAATAATAACAATTGTTTTATCTTTTGTCTTTTTATGTTCGGTTTCTCTTATTTCTTGTTTTGTCCTTAGTGTATTTTATTGTGTATGTCTGTGTGTTGTATGATAATAATAATAATAATGATAATAATAATAATAATTATTAATGTTTACATATTGTTGTTAATTGTATTGATTGCTAAATAATTTCTCATACTTCATTTTCATCAGTAACATTGACATTAGCTCCATGCTCCAGTAGTAGTTCAACTATTTCTGTATGTCCTCGTATACATGCCATAGCAAGTGGTGTACGCTAGCATGAACAAATAACATTAGTAATGCGGTAGCGTTACTAAGTAGGATTCACCCCCAAACAAAATGGCTGCCACGACTTTTGCAGCCTTGCTATATTAATATTGGTGTTTAATAGGATTATAAATACTGAATTAAAAATTTTATCTCTTGAAAAATTTGAATGCTGTCTAGATTCCTATCCCAGTTGAAAAGAAAATATTGACATTAACTTAGTAAACCTTATTGTTATGCAAAGCTATACAATTACTCAGATTTAATGATAAATTATTAACAAATCATTTGACTCTCATCTCATTATCTCTATTCTCAAAAATTTTTATTTCATGTAGTATCTTGCACACTGTGTAATGCACAGAACAGGTGTTGCATAGTGTATGCTGGGCTCTGTTAAGGCTCTTCATTATTTATTTCTTTTAGTATAATAATAATAGTAGTAAATTTTATTTAGTTAATGTAAAACTGTAATAATAAAATAATGATGTGATTGTAATGGAAAACTATCATATATAACTACAATTTATTGTTTTTGCTGCATTTTGGGACTTTTCCTATCTTCTTCTAGTATGTAATAATACTATACTTAAAATTAAATATTAATGGACTAGCTACTTGATCAGTAGGGCCCAACTAAATTTCTGTTACACTTGTCTCTTTAAATAAACAGCAATCTCTTACTTTTTGGCTATTTGTGTGATTGACATCAACTCCTTTTTGTTTCAGTAGTAGTTTAACTATTTCTGTATGCCCTCCTATACAAGCCAAACCAAGTGGTATATTCTACGTAATAATAATAATAATAATAATAATAATAATAATAATGATAGTAACAGGAACATGCAATAACTACCATGTCTCTTACTTCATGATTATCAGTGAGATTGAAAAAAGATTTGATTTTAGAGTCAGCATCATTTTCATGTAAAGCAGATTTAAGACGATTAGCTCTTTCTTGAATAAGAAGCTCAACTATTTCTGTGTGCCCAGCCTGACAAGCACAATGAAGTGGTGTAGATCTATTTTTATCAAGGGCAGAGATATCCACTGTTTTGTCTTGTAATAATTTAGCAACTTTATCAGAGTTATTCATCAAACAGGCTCGGTGGAGTGGTGTCAAGTTAAGTTCATCTGTATAAATAAAGAGAATTGTTGTATATAATTATACCTGAGCATGTTA